ATTCTATATAATTAAATTGGGCCTACCTCTCGAACACGGATGACATTAAGGTCACGCTCATCACGGATAACAACATTAACATTTCTTTCTTGAAGAAATTGGACCTAAAAATACAAAATAATTAGAGGTAAAAAAAAATAAAAAAATTATACATGTAAGAAAATGAGTAAAAGGAGTCAGTATTACAGTTCGACGTAGGTCTCCATCCATCTGTAAATTATAAGAAAAGAGCATTTTGCTATAAGGAATTAGATAAAAAATTATGAAAAGAAAAGAAAATTGACTTTTGCTTACGTGACCAAAAATAGTAATGTTGTCCATAATTAACGGTTGAAGGTCAATGGTGTCTTAACCTGAAAGTGCCTGGTTATGTAAATTTGACAAAGATAATTGTATGAAGGCAAAATGAGGTTTAATAATTGCCATAAAGAAAAATTAATCGCTACAAAATTAACAATCTCCTAACATATTTTAGTTAACAACCTAGTTTAAGAAGTTCGTTTGTGCATGAATATCACAGATGGAGAAATTGACCTACTACAGGATAGAAGAAAAATTATAATTTTTTTATGTCTTCAATATACATTAAAAAGGATAGAAGAAAAATTAAATACTCCCATAGAAATCTTCATAATTTTTCTCTATTAGCCAAAATGTAGAACTATTGCAATACATGATTTTGTGGTTGATTCTATATAGTAATTTTGCATTGACAAAGGTTGATTCTTATGGATTGTATTGCCCATTTTTCCTACTAACAACTAAGTAAATTATAAAAAAATATAAATTATACTAATGAATAAAATTTTAGCAAAACTTAATTACAGAAATTTAATTACTAAATTTGCATTTTAAAATGTGAAAACAAAATAAGTAAAAAACTACAATAAAAATTTATAAAAGGGCTCACCACACTGTAACTGAATAATTACAAATACCTTTTGTATTAGCTATATAATTACAAATGCCTTTTTCAATACACATCATAAAAAATTATACTACACAGTAGCTTATTTACTCTAAGGCGTAATACTCTCATAAAAATCATAAAAAAATTATTAAAACAAATTTTTAAAATAAGTTGAAGTTTTTTGAAAAGTCTTGATAAACATCTAAAAAGTCTTTTTTTTTTTTTGAAAAATTCCAAAAATAAAATTGAAAAAGCTAAATAAACTGGACTCTTTTTAAAGAGAGAGAAGCCTAAACATTTTAAAATAGCAGTTCAATAAAAAACTAAATTAAAAGCAGTTCACTAAAAGCAAAAAAAAATAAGGGTCATCAAATAAAAAGGTTAACTTTTTAATGTTCCCTTTTCCTTTCAATCAACAAATTCCCTTCAAATCCTAAATCCAAATACAGCTTAAGAGAGATGGGGGGAAAAAAAAATGGACCTATCATATTACAAAATTAAACTGTAGCAAAATCTTTGTAAAAATTAAAAAAAAGAAAAGAAAAGAGAATAGTTATTCAGGCCCAAAAGTTAGACCTATTTTATAGGTCCAGTGATATGTCAAGAAGAGGACTGGTTGATAATATTATCTAATTGTCAACCAATTATCTTCTTGACACATCACTAGGTCTATAAAGTGTGTATAAAAAATGAACTTGTATGTCATTATTAAAAAAAAAAAAGACATAAGTATTCACATAATTCATCATACATTCCAACTATATAAAAAAAAAAAAAAAATCCCATAAGTATTCTCTAGAAATTGAACAGCTATATACCAAGATACATCACTATAAACACTATATTAGACTTCTTTCTAAACCAAACATTAAAAGCTTAATGTTTAATCTAATTATTGAAAATTCGAAGACCAAACATGAAAATTCTAGAGCATTAAAGAAATCTGAGAGAGTTCATTCATTAATCCAGAACATTCATTAACCCACTGCAATTCAAGAAAGAAAGTAAGCAACTAATAAAGAATTGCAAGGGAGAGACTTCCTAACTTGAGTATCTTCTTGAGAAGCAAAATTAGAGAAATCTGAGACAAAAGGATAAAAAGAAAAATACAATTAGTAAGAGCACTCCTCAACACTAAAAATGCACACGAAACTATTTTCATATTTGACGAATAAGAATATGACCATTGATGATTAATGAGAACCTCAACCCATTAGATTAAGATGAAATAAAAATGATTGTTGACATGAAACATAACTGTAAGAAGGCAGAACAAGGTTTAATAATTGCTATAAAGAAAAATTAATTGACATAGAATTAGCAACCTCATAACATATTTTAGTTAACCACCTACTTTAAGAAGTTCGTCGTTGCATGAATATCATAGATGGGGAAATTGAACTACTACAAGATAGAAGAAAAATTATAATTTTTTAATGTCTTCAATATACATTAAAAAGGGTAGAAGAAAAATTAAATACTCTCCTAGAAATCTTCATAATTTTTCTCTATTGGCCAAAATGTAGAACTGTTACAATACATGATTTTGTGGTTGCTTCTATATAGTAATTTTGTATTGAGAAAGGTTAATTCTTATGGATTGTATTGGCCATATAGCGATCCCGGTTTCTCTTCCTTTGATTGTTGTATTTCGGACTTAGGTTCTGTGAAGTTGGTGGTTGTATATCTTGTTGTTATTCTTTAATTCCGTGTGCTTGAGTTTTAGGATGCATTGGGCGTGTTTCGAACAGGTTGGTTGAGCTTTAGTCCCATTCCTTGTTGCCCAGATTTTTGGTGGTACGCTCGAGTGCCTTTGCACTCGAGCGGAATTTGATTTTTGGTTGTCCGCTCGAGCGGGGTTTACACACTCTCAGCATTTCGTGCCTCTGCAAAACTTCTATAGGTGTGTTTTTCACGCTCGAGCGGTTTTCCTTACGCTCGAGCTGGTAGCGCTCGAGCGGGTATCTTGGCGCTCGAGCGGGTAGTTCTTTGTCTGTAAAAATTCTGGAAGGGGGAAATCTACGCTCGAGCGGCTTTCCCTTTGCGCTCGAGCGGGTGTGTTTTGCAGTTGTGTCTTGGCACTCGAGCGGGTATCTTTGCGCTCCAGCGTGTCCAGTTTTTGTATCTGACGCTCGAGCGTCCTATTCTCCGCTCGAGCGGGTCATACGTATATCAGTAGACAGCAGCGGGATTACACTTCACTTTTTCATCTCTCTCTTTTTCAAAAACCCTAGATCTGAGCTCTCTCTCCCTCTAAACGACTTCTCTCTAGGGATTGATCTACTTCTAGTGAGTTTCTAACCTAGGCTCTTTGTAAGAAAGATAGAGAGTGTTGAGGGCATCCTTTTAATATGAAAAATCTTGGATTTGGAGCACTTTGGATTTTGGTCATCTCCTTCATTTGAGCTCTTCAATTTGAGGTAGGGATAACTACTTATTCCTATGGTCTTTGACATAAACTATTGGTCTTTTGATATAATGTTGAGTTGGGTGATTTTGGGTGTTAGGGTTTCAAAATGTATAAAAGAGGGGTTTTGTATTTTGAGCCTATACATGTATATTTGAGCCTAGAGATGAGAATATTGGTGTTGTTGATAATATTTAGACCTTTGGGTCAATATTAAGCTTAAAGGGAAAAATGTCATGTTTGGGTATATTTGGGTCATTAGTGTAATTAATGACATTTGTTATGAAATTGAGTTGGGATAATGAAATTTGCTCATTATGAGATAGAATGGTGGAGTTGGACTTATAAATCGCTCACTTTTGAAAATGTCAATTATATATCTGTTGAGGCATTTATTATCTGCTTAGAAATAACTGCTTTGGGTTATCGGTGGAGGATAGTCTTGATTGTTGTAGACACTGCATGATGGTTAGGTGAATTGAAACTAATCAAATTGTGTATTTGAATACATGGGTGCCGAATCCCGCGGATGAAATTTCCGTAAAATGGCCATTTAAATATAATTATACATGGGTGCCGAATCCTGCGGACGCAATTTCCGTAAAATGGCAATCCGAATATATCTATACATGGGTGTCGAGTCCCGTGGATGAAATATCCGTAAAATGGCCATAAGAGAATGAAAATACATGGGTGTCGAATCCCGCGGACGCAATTTTCGTAAAATGGCAGTTTGTAGTATTGTTGGCATGAGATGTAGTCTCACTTCAGTTATTTGGCCAGGTTTTGAGCCATGTTTGTAAGTTGAGTTTTGTTAAGTTAAACATTTTTCAAGTGCTAATGTTTTAGTTATTGCTCATATTATGTTTAGCATATCTCTACTGGGCGTTGGCTCACCCTATATGGGACATCATTTTCAGGTATAAGTGCTATGCCACCTCCAAGGACGTAGCTTGGGAGGCTTGAGGCTGTAAACTTTTTTGTTGTATTACATGTATATCAAGCCAAGGGCTTATTTGTGTATAGTTAGTACTCTCTTTTGTAACCAAGTGTTGACTTGGAAAGTTGTAAGCCTATAGGGCGTTTACTTTTATTGTCAACATGTAATACCTTTTGTAAGAATACTCTGATGATTATAATATGAAAACTCTTTTATTTATCGTGAATGTATGCTATGATGGTTTTATTTTTTAGGGCATTACAGGCCACTTTTCCTACTAACAACTAAGTAAATTATAAAAAAATATAAATTATACTACTTATGAAGAAAATTTTAGCAAAACTTAATTAGAAAAATTTAATTACTAATTCTGCATTTTAAAATGTGAAAAAAAATAAGTAAAAAACTACAATAAAAATTTATAAAAGGGCTCACCACACTATAACTGGATAATTACAAATATCTTTTGTATTATCTATATAATTACAAATGCCTTTTTCAATACACATCATAAAAAATTATACTACACAGTAGCTTATTTACTCCCTCTCATAAAAATCATAAAAAAAATTATTAAAACAAACTTTTAAAATAAGTTTAAGTTTTTTCAAAAGTCTTGATAAACATCTAAAAAGTCTTTTTTTTTTTTTGAAAAATTCCAAAAATAAAATTTAAAATGCCAAATAAACTGGACTATTTTGAGAGAGAGAGAGAGAAGCCTAAACATTTTAAATAGCAGTTCAATAAAAAAACTAAATTAAAAACAATTCACTAAAAGCAAAAAAAAAAAAAAAGGGGTCATCAAATAAAAATGGTTAACTTTTTAATGTTCCCTTTTTCTTTCAATCAACAAATTCCTTTCAAATCCTAAATCCATATATAGCCTAAGAGAGATAGAAAGAAAGGAAAAAAAAAATAAAAGACCTATCATATTAAAAAATTAAACTGTAACAAAATCTTTGTAAATAAATAAATAATAGTTATTCAGGCTCAAAAGTTAGACCTACTTTATAGGTCTAGTGATATGTCAAGAATCAACCAACCATCTTCTTGACACATCACTGGGTCTATAAAGTGGGTATAAAAAATGAACTTGTATATCATTAATAAAAAA